GATTATGTCACAAGTACGTGGGTGGATGATGATGCGTTGTTCGTTTTCTCAATTACGTATAGGCATGAAAGAATAGGGTATATTAAATAATGAGTGATGAGTCAAAAATGAAAGTTCATTCAGAAGCAAAATATACAATCCTGTTTTTTCTTTTCTTATATCTTTTATCGAAATTAAGTCATAACAGCTTTTTCATTTCTGTATTGTACTTTCTATTCTTTTCGATTATTCTCTAATCTTATTCATATGAGCGCATTACAAAATGTACATTCAAATCATTCAAACACATCTGTCTATGTTAACTGTTTTTAAAAGATGCCAATGTTATGAAGAATAATTCATTGAATTACGATTTTAATGTAATATTTTGAGCTATTGCTGATACTTTTTCTAAATTTGTTGTTGATGTATCATTTAAAATATTTAATATACGTTGTTCTTGTCGTAGCTTTGTTTTTTTCATTGGTTGCCGTGCTCCAGCTTCAGCTTGAATTAATTCAGCATCGTGCATTATCGGGAATTCTAGTTCCATGCCTAGTGATGACGACTGAATTATTTCTGTCTAGTTTTTTTTCTCGACGGTGAAAGTGTGTCTTCTCTCGTCTGCCTTGACACATGTGTACTTAAAGCGAGACACGGAGATTTCAGCGTCTTCTACATTCATATTCAACAGTTATGGCGTTAAAAAATCGTCGGACAACGCGTGTAACACATATACTGTCCCGCTTCAGTGAAAATTTCTCCAGTGAAAGTGTTCCACTTTTCAATAACAAAAACATCTTACTTTTAATTTCTAACACTTGTGCTTTATTATCGAACAAAGCATCCGGATTTGTTGCTAGACCAGATCGTCGTACTAATTCTCTAATAAATCTTGTATGTGAAGAAGGATCAGCAGTCATGGTTCGAAGATCAATTCCTAAAACGGTCTTGAAAAGAAAAGAGAAAAAAGGTATCTCATCTTGTTCTGAAAAAGTCTACTCGTGAGGAAGCCTTTTCCGTTGTAGTTTTCGTAAGATCATTCACAGTCTAGTGAAAACTATATCCGTTTTCACACGGTATTTCCATTGTGGAAAATGTTGAAGTGTTTTCTGAATAAATTCTTTACGCGCATTTCTATTCAAAAAATTCTACACCGTCAGCTGCTCTGCGCTCCTCTTGACTTGACCTGTTTTTAACCAAATCGAAAAACGTTTGGAAAACCACTGTTTTTGCGAATTTTCAATGATTCACTATAAGCACACGTTGGTAAAAAACTTCATAACCTCATGCAGCTGGATGACGACGCTCAATGGCGTTAATTTACCTACCGTTAATGCTGTTGAAGGTATAATGGTTGACGCAGTTGTTGCACTAATCGAGTCATCAATATTCATATCTTGAGACTGTAATATGACCTTAAAGAAATTAAAACAAAAGTAGAAAGTCTATAAGAGAAGTTTTTTTGCGATGTAAAAGTGAAAAGATAGTGATTCCCGGACTCATGCTTCCCACACAGTTGCTCCCCGGTCACTTGCTTCCTGGACACTTGCTCCCCGGTCACTTGCTCTGCTAGGACACTTGCTCCCCGGATACGTGCTCTCCTAGGACAAAT